GATTACGGGCAAACGAATCGATCGGTGGAAAAAAGTGGCGCGTTCGTTCGAAGCGGCAGTGAAAAACCAAAACATTTTTCATCCCGTGCCTCGTTCTCGTTTTTCTTTTTTTTTTTCTCTCTGTGCCTGAACGTCCGGCAAACGAGCGAGCGCGCGAGACGAATCCGATAACCGGATAAGCAAATTCACGAAAAAAAAAATTTAAACTTCGTAATGGTTTTGTTCGAAGGAGGCACGCGTGGCGCCGAGTGTCCAGAGGACAGCGTCCGAGAGGAGAGCGGCGAGTGCAAATGCGCGGCCATCGACTGTCCATCGGTCGAATGCCAGGGGGGTCAACGTCCGATCCAGGTGAAGCCAGCAGACCCTGAAACGCCGGGTAGCTGTTGCGCCCGTTATGAGTGCATGCCCGCAGGTAAGAGAGAATCAAATCGAACGCAATGCGACGCTGCGTCGAACGCGTAAGCGAACTTTGCTCAAGGTGTTGTTTTGTTTCTGTCAAAGACCCTCGAGGATCGTCGGAGCCGTGTCCCGAGAACAGCGTGCTGACCGAGGATGGAAAATGCGAGTGCGCGCCCTGCCCACCGGTCAACTGCCAACCTGGACACCGTTCTGTTCAAGTGACCGCTGCTCTCGATCGCGAGACGCCTGGTAGCTGTTGTCCTCTCTACGAGTGTAGACCGGCTGGTAATCTTTTTTTCTTTTCTTTCTTTTGCTGTCACCTCGTCGCGAAATTGAAAAAAAAAAAAAAAAAACGCGGCTAGATTTCGAGTGTAGAGCGCAAACAGTCGATAATGATGAGATTTCCTTTTGGAAATGTATTGTATCGAACAATAACGACGAGTATACTTGGGAGTCAAACACGGAACAAAAGTTTGTATATTTTAAATTTAAATTGTATTGTAATGAAAATTATGATTAATTAATTTCAGTAAGTACTTTTGATCCGGGTTCTGTTATCTAATTAATTGATTCTATAAAAACTGGTTATTATTTTAAATTATAAAGATTTGTAGGATATCTTGATACGTATTAAGTAGAAATATCATCTAAATTCTAAAAATTTTAAGAATATCTTGACACTTTAGTACGTATTAAGATATTCTACAAATCTTTGTAATTTAAACGTTTAATAGTTAAAATAAATAAATTTATACAACCTGAAATAAAAATATTACTTAAAATTTTCTATTCAAACAGAAATGTTAATTTTCTCAAAAATATTCGTACCTTTCGTCGAATTGACAGGTTTAGAAAATTCGTCGTATTGACGGGTTTACTGTTCCAACGTTAATTATAATTAAATCTCGATTAAATTACAACAAAACGGCGAAATTGTAATACTGAGTTACTTTATTTTTTCGCATAATGAGTATGTATGTCGTTGTTATCCAAAAAATAGTCATTTCCTCGTGACGATTAATATACTCATCAAACGCTTATTAAAGGGTTAACGTTGAATTCTTCGATCGTTGAAGCATTCGATCTTATTCTCACGAATGCGTCATCAATAACTGCACGCAAATATGACGATCACGCTCAAGTATCGATAGCATCCGTTTTAAAATTTAATTACGAGATTCTCGCGAGACGCTACCTTAGACAACCAACAAAATCGCGTAATGGCCGTTTATCTCCCTTGGAAACGCGACCATTCGTCCATACGCCGAAATGATCGAATACGATTTATCGTCGATCGTAATCGTTTATTTTCATCTCCCGCGGAGATGGCAAAGAACGAGCTGTTTTCCTTAAAGTCCCCATACACGTTGAAACATGCGGATATTTAATTTTGTTTTTAAATATCCTTCTTTATCAATAGCAGTATACATTTTACTCAATAATTAAAGTGAAATTACAGTACTAAATTTTAAGTCTTTATAACTCTTTTCCTGTGAATTATTGAGAACCTAGTAATTAGTATTGTAGATAATCTCTTTGCCCTAACTACATCTCTCACGACTGTATTTGGTTTTTCAATTTTGGGTGAATTTTACTCAACAGATAATAAAGGATAATTTCCATAATCACTAGGTTCACTTATCTTCGGCTCTTTCAATAATATCGAATTGGAAAATTTGTTTCTTGACTTCAACTGTAGAAACTTTTCGCTTTGTTTTTAGCATTTAATTCTTTATCTTTTATAATTAACATACCTTCTGTTATCGATAGTAATACTGGAGTTAGAAAATGATCCAATATTTTGAAACTCAAGCGTGGCGTCACGTGACAAATAGAAGAATGACAATGAAGAATCGGTCATGCGGAGGGTTACCGATTCTGTCGCAGGTTTCATGAAACCTAGGACGCATGTTTCGATGTGTATGGGCGGGAGGCTTTTACGGATAGTTATATATAATGACGCGCGTTTTCTTCGCAGAATCCGTCTCTTGGGTGAAAGTGACAACCGAGATGGACAAATCGACAGACGTTTGCGTGCACGAAGGCGAAGCAAGAAAACTGGGCGAACGATGGCAGCAATCGGATTGCGTCCACTGCGTTTGCCAGGAGAATAGGGTGGTGTCCTGTCAGGCACCGATGTGCAAGTCCTGCGACAATGCGATTCCCCCCCATCCTGGCGAGTGCTGCCCTCATTGTCCACCGCTTACGAACAAGACGCATCACGAGTTCGAATTATCCTGTCCGAATTCCTTGGAAGGTTGCGAGTTAGTGTGCCAGCGTGGTTACGCCACGGACGAAAATAATTGTCCCGTGTGCGAATGCGATGTATATGAGGTACGTAACGAACGAAGGAACGCTATGCCCTGGAGGTATTTCACGCGTGTGCAAACACGTGTATCCGTAATTGCACGTGTCCATGTTCGCTTAGTTCGTTGTTATATTTCAAATGTATTTTTGGAATGTCTTTTCTCAAACATATATATATATATTTTTAATATAATTTTTCGATTACGTACGTGGCTTCTATAAAATATGCATTTAATTGGGGTAATTATTTCGACACGATTCGATACGTTTTTTCTTTCTTTTTTTTTTCGCTAGAAAAATTTCTTCAAATTTAATTTAAGAATTACCAGCTTTGTAATTCTTGGAACGGAACTGTTACAGCTGTTTTAATTAATTTATGCATTAAGAAATTGTGGAGGATGTCTTTAATCTTCCTCAAATGGTAAAAGCATAGTTCCAGAAATTTTCATGGAATGCAAAAATGTCACGAAGATGTTCCGATTATAATAAATCGGAATATAATAAAGTTTCGATATTTTTATCGTAAATCTTGAGCACATATGATATAGCAAATTTCTTACTTCTTTAATGTGATATTTAATTGATATGAAATAGTTATATATTATATAAAATAATGGTTATATATTAAATAACCATTATTAATTATATATTAAATAACAATTAAATAATGGTTATATATTATATAACCATTATATATAAAATTGATACTTAACAAATTCAAACGTCGAAGAAACGACATTTAATGTCCACCAAGATAAATATACGTGTATAGCCGTTAAATTTGACGCACGTCAGATTCATTTATATTGTATTAATACAATGAATCCAATCCAAACCAATCCAATGATATTTGGGGATTGTCCTCAACTAAAAGATGCATGCTAAAGATTACACTAATATGTGCTTTATATTGAAGAATTCAATGTAAAGAAATATAAAGATCAGAGTACTAGCTGAATATCAGTATTGCTCGACTTTCAGAATTGTCGTTACTAAATCTACCAAGTCAAGAAAATGTATGAGGAATATTACTACGAAGTCTAATTTCGTTGAAAGTTTAACAGATTTCATGTCTAATAGAATTTACAAAATTACATAAATTAAAAGATTTAGAGTAAAGTAAAGCAAGATTAAACGCGTTATAATAAATGATACTTTCCGTTCTTCGTGTCACATTACACAGCATTTTTCTAACATATAATATGTAACATATATTTTCGATATTTTTGATAATAAAAATTGCCATTCGTTTTTAAGTTCCTCGACAGGCAATACATTGCCTTCTTATTACACCTACCACTCTTTTGAAAATGCATATAGACTTTTGAAACATAATTGTTGTACAATCCATGTACGACGCGGATTTGCTGATACGAAGTTCGTCTCCGTTCAGTCTGCTTTCCTTACGGACAATTACGTTAGTAGGGTAGTTAGGGTTAAGGATAGTTGGGGTTGTATTTTCTTGGACTTCGACGTAGTTTTCGTGATCGAGTAATAATATGCGTGATTGACTAAGTCACGAGGTTTGATTCTGATGAGACTTATTCACGTTCGCTGTGGCGGAATCGAACTGACGGGAAGAATACTGAGGAAGTATGATTTGAACTGTTAGAAAAGTCGTAGATGATGTAGATGACTGTCCAGACGTGTCGAGCGAGTCTTTCCGGAGGAATCGCTTTTATATCTCGGAGAGTGCTTTGTTCAAGCTTGCTCATTGAACTCGACTTTCCCTATCAGGTAAGTCGGGTACACCTTCCGAGGAGACCTTGATCCTAAACTGCAACGAGTAAGACTTATGAAATTAAACTTAAATTACGATACAATTTATGATGGGTATTATGGTGCTATTTATGGTACATGCGTGCCTTGTGGCACTATTGTGTCGTTGGTACTATTGTGTCTATGTGATGGCTGTGAACATTTTGTTTCTATTGAAAGTTGTTCTTCGTAGGCTTCACAAGGTTATTACCGTCAGCACTTCTCGAAATACCGGACCTTAATAAAATAGGGAAGATGCTTGTTGGGAATATTTTATACCTTGGTGCCGTGTAATAATTGTATTAAGTCTAAAACGAATGAGCGTAACGTTTGACGAAACTACAGAAAATAACATCGTGATATAAATGTGATCTATATGTAACTTATACGTGATAGTAGGTTTGCGTAAAAATTAATTAATAAATCTTATTATTTATTAATTAATTATTATTATTTATTAATTATCACATAATATAGAAACGTTTTTATAGTTTTTCATTAAAGATGTTAGTTGTTATCGTTATATCAATTTGATACAATCAAAGGGACAAATCAAGTTAAAAAAATGAAGAACGAGTTCTCTTAATGCACACGTTCGAAATCTAGATCTCTACTATCTTCTAACCCGAATTCGATCGACTTCAAATCCACGATACGATTGTTCTGATTTCAGGACGCCGAAATGGCGACAACGGAACATTCGACTATCGACGTTGGATCTACCAACGACAAGATTTGCCCTAAACTACCAGCACGTTGCGAGTCGAACTGCGAAATTGCGAGAGACGAGAATGGCTGCTCGGTGTGCGCCTGTCGAACTATAGAGCAATCTACCACCACCCTTGACACTCCGTCGATAGACGATTCCTCCGGCAAGAAGATTTGCCCCGAAGTAAAGTGCGACCTGCACTGCGAACGTGGACTGGTCATGGACGAGAACGACTGCACGTTTTGCAAGTGTCGGGAGGAACCAGATTCGTCGAGTTGTCCGCCTCTGCTCGGATGCAGAAAACGATGCGCCTTTGGCTACAAGACGAATAAACGCGGTTGTCCGGTGAATAAACGTCTCTTTTTATTAGTATCCCCGATATGGCTCGAATCGGTATTCTTGATATACGATCGGTCGTAGATGTGTCGCTGTCGTGCCTCTTGCACCGATTACCTCAACGGAACGCATCCGGAAGGATCGACTTGGCATCCGAACTCGTGCACCTCGTGCACTTGCGAAGCCGGCGGGAAGCTCAGCTGCAAGGAAACCGTCTGCTCAGTAGCTTGCAACGACCCTCTACCTCCGCAACCGGGAATCTGCTGTCCGGTCTGTCCAATTACGGTAAGCTTCGGTTGAACGAACTTGGGACTCCTCTCTCGGGAAAGTTCTCACTCTCATTCTTCATCGATAAATCTGCGGTTTGTTTTCAGCAACCGAAGGAAAATGAAGCGACCACTGGTTACCATTCAGGAGGCAAAGGCTGGGGCACAGTGCCCATCACGTTGATCGCGATTCTGGCGTTGCTTTGCCTACTGTTGATCGTGCACATGGTTCGCGGCCGATTTCGGGCTCGTCTCTCGCCGTCGGAGACCTCTTACTCCACCTATCCGCCGCAGTACTACAAATGCGTGCCGGCGTACGACACGCCAGTCCATCGAAACGAGAAAATCGTACCTTTGTAAAAGACTGTCTGACAAACCGGGGGAAAACGCGAGACATAATTGAATGTAATTGGAAGGCTGCGTTTTGGCGCGGCAACCGCTGCGTTTCATGCACTGTTGCCTACTGACGAATGAGAGAATGAGAAGATGAAAACGTGGACCGTGTAAGGGAGTAAGAAAGCGTGGAGATCGCTGCCAAAATGAGTCCAAACGCGGCGTTCTACCGGTTAGAAAATACCATATTGTAGATTCAGTATTATTTGTAAGTAGCGGACGGTTTTTCGATCATAAGAGAAGACAGTGTTGGGATTTTAGATCGAAGTTCGCGAACCACGGCTGTCGGTACGTCCCCCCCCC